TGTCTGAACTAAATTTTTATTCATGTCTTGATTAATGTTGTAGTAAACATAATTAAATCATGAATAAGTGCTGGCCCAACTTGAAATTACTACTTGTATTTATAATCTGGAATCTGTGGTGTAAAACTCAACAATTTGGATCTCCAGAAGGGAAATAGCTGATTGACTCTTTGCTTTCAATTTCATTGTGATGAGAACAAACCTTTTCCTGTTCTCAGAACTTGCACATTTCATCTTATATTGTATATATTCTGGTTCTGGTTGCCTCTTGCAGCAAACAAATACTGCAGACATGTTGGAAGAGGCGGTGGAGTATGTTAAGTCCCTTCAAAAGCAGATTCAGGTACTCCCTACACTGAAATAGAAAAAGGCGGAAATATATTTTGTTGGGATTTTTTCAGGTGAAAAAAAAAATTAAATTTTTTATTGATTTCATTTGTCCCAAAATTAACAACTTAAAAGTGTCTTTAAATAGGTTTATACTGAATTTAAATTTTTTAAAAATAATCTACAATAATTTAAAAGATAAATATTAACCAAATTTCTTAAAAAATAAATTCCCACTAATAACATGATATTTAAAAAATAAACATGGGCTAAATCTTATTAAAGATAAAATATTATTTGAATTCAAACTAATAAATAAAATAAACTATAATATTTTTAACATTAATTTTCAACACTCTCCCTTAATGTAAAAATTATAATTATTAAATTTAATTTGTTGGAGCACTTCTCTCCAATATTTCTTATTTAATATTTATATTTTGAAACACTTTTTTTCAATTGTTGATGCACGTCTTACCAACCTCTGATTATTGATGCACTTCTTATCAATTTTCAATTATTTGATGCATTTCTCATCAAATTTTTTAGAGCACTTCTCTCTAATTTTCAGAAAAAGTTCTTCTTGAACAAAATTTGCTTATTCATTCTTCAACTTGTAATTTTTTTTTATATATATCTAAATCTTTTACAACAAAAATATTGTGATTTATTTTTGTGCCAACAGTCTTTTTCATTATGATGGTTTTTCTTGCATACTCCGCATGGTGGAAATTTTTCATTTTTGATATTGACGAAGACTTGTTTGACATCTTGACAATGAAGCCTCCCTCCATGGTTTTTTTTTTTTTTTCATTGTTCTTCTCTCTATATTATTTTTTCACATACTTATAATTAATAAAAGTTATGATACAATTTGTTGAAATTTTTTCAGGTGAAAAAAACTAAAATTTTTACATCGAATTTTTCAGGTGACTTCATTTGTTTCAAAATTAACAACTTAAAATGTTTTAAATAGATTTACATCGATTTTAAATTTCTTAAAAATAATCTACCATAATGTAAAAAATAAACATTAACTAAATCTCTTAGAATTTTTATTAATAATATGATATTTAAAAAAAAAAATGAACTAAATCAAATTAAAGATAAAATATTGTTTGAATTCGAATTAATAAATAAAATAAATTATAATTTTTACATTAGTTTTTAACATATTTGCAATCGATTTGTATTTAAACTTTCCATGTAAGTCTCTCTCTTCTTTTCTCTCATAAACAAAAACCTGGATCTTGGGCAGGAACTCACAGAGCATCAAAGGAAATGCAAATGCATTACTAAAGATTAACTAGAAAGGTACGGAGAAAAATCTGTTCCGTATCTAGTCTACTTATCATATTTAATTGGTCTCTGCTGTGATTCATCATTATTGTCTGCAAACAATATGCTTCCAGAAGCAGATCTTGTAATTACCAGAATCATCTACCTACTACCATGTCAAATTTTTATCAACTTGTAGATGATGGCTTGTCTGGTGGGTGTAATAGTTGTAGAGTCCATAACCAGGGCTTCTCGATCCACGATGGCAAAAGGACTGCTGTTTGAAGATCATTTAGAATTACTGTAGTTGTAACCTTTTGTACACAATAAAAATTGAAAAATATATTTTTTTAGTATTGATTTGTCCACTTCCCAAGGTTAATTTCTACAGTTTTACTGTGGATCTAGGCGCTTGTATTCAATTTCTTCATTTTAAATCTGAAGCTGCTATATGGTCAATAAAAATATTTTTGGTCAAAATTCCAAGTACATTCTGATATTCGATTACGGAAGTCTTGTGCTATACTTTCTTGGATGTGGATTGGGAGGAGGTTACTGGATGAACAAGTAATATATTATATTCATAGGATATTTTGGAAATGTTGCTGACTTATATATCCTTATATATTGCTCTATTGTGAGTAGTTTGAACAAGACCTAATACTTCTCTCTCTCGTTTTTCTGGGAAACAATAAAAAAATTTCTTTCTTTTTGTGGGTGACTCTGATAGTAGCTTTGGATTTTTGTGCTAGCAGTATTTATGCAGGACATGATATTCAATATTAGTTTGATAGTGGAATACATTTGTTACAAGCTGAACTTATCTTTTTCACATATTGACTGTAATTCAAAATACATGCAAACCCAATTTGGGCTGTAAACTTGTAGTTGTATAATTTCAAGAATTTAGTTCAAGCTGTGGTAATTTCATCATGCATCATGATAGAAGTAAGTTTATTCGCCATGAACTTTACCCCGCTGCAGGAAATCATGGTGTTCTTTTTTTGTAAATGGTGTTGTCTTCATCATCATTATGAAGACCTGGATATAATGTAGGGGTTGCTGTGTTACTGTTTACAAGTGTGAAGATGTGTTCTTAGTTTTACTGGAGTCGTTCACCAAGTTTGGTGGAAGAGGTGGGATCGTTAAGTTGAGTTCTGGGTTTGGCCAAATTGCCCACAGTAGCCTCTCATGAATATAGGTCATCTGTGAAATCAATGATATGATTAAGCGGGACAGTTTTTTCTGATATAAAATGGTATTGGAGCTAATTTTGTTTCTGCCTCATATCTTCATTCATGTACATGCTCCACCTGAAGGGATGTGTCTTGAGTATCGAGCTAATTTGGGACTGGTAAGTGATAACAACTTATTTATGAAAAAAAAAAAGAAGAAAACTGTTGAGTAGCGTGGTGAAACTGAAGACAATCTACTAAAAATTTCAAAAGAAAACGTTGATGTTGATTATTAAAGATGAAAAAAGAAATGGGCTTCCCATTTGTTTTGAAGAATATTACATCGGGCGTTGTTACAAATGGGTTAGGTTTGTTTTAGGACTTTTACTTAGTGCATAACTTGAGGGTTTGGATTTTAGTGGCTGTCTGTAAAGGACACTTTTTATTAGTGACATTAGTTTGTTTTAAGATTTTACTCAGTGCAACTTAATCGATAGACTTGATTTTCTTGGGGTCGGATTTTAGTGGCTGTTCTTAAATGACACTTTTTACTAATGTAAATGATGCCTGTTAATAATGTCACCTTTACAAAGTTTCGTTTATGAAGCTAGCTTTATCGGCAAAAAAGTAGTTGGTAAAAAGTATGGTGTAACAGTCATACACTAAAGATATGTTAGTCTTTAGTAGTGAAAAGATTGTTACTAAAAATGGCCGTCACTATAGGTTCTTTTTTTTTTTCTTTTATTGTAGAACTTGTTATCAAAATTTAAAATTACACTAAAAGTTTATTAACTTTCAGTTTTAAAATCGGTTGATTAACTAAAATTTTTTCAAATTAAAACTGTTTTTATAATAATTTTACAAATTAATTTAAAGTAATAATTCAATCAAAAAATAGAAAAAAAAAATTAAAGAGGAGGAAAACAAATGAAAGATATCAGAAAACACGTGCTGTCTAAGGTTCTAATTAAAAGTAACTGAAATTAGAGTTTGGCAACACTTAAATATGCTAAGTGCCTGGTTAATTAAAATATATTGTTAAAAATTTTACTAACAACATAATTCTAAATTCTAAATTACACTAAATGCTTCATTAAAAAGTAGGAAATTATGAAACAATTTTACTTTAACAGATATATGAATGAGGATATATATATATATATATTTTGTAAAGAAAAACATACATATAAAAGTTTATTTCAACCAAGCAAATATATTACAGAAATACAAGGGAATCCCATAATTTACTGAAATTAAAACACTCAAGTATGTATATATATATATATATATATATATTTATATATGTATAAATAAGTGAGAGTATAAAATGAACTTCTATATACTTCACAGAACCCTAGGGAGTTTCCAGGGAGTCTTTTTGATTCTCATATATCCATTCTCGCCCCAACTTGAATTCTTTATGATTATGTAATTTTTCCTCCACTTGTTACTGCATGATTTGGTATCCCTTTCCCATGGCCCTTCAAAAATTCTCTATCACATACAAAAATCAAATTAATTAATCTCTCTATTTATTATTTAATTATTTACTTTGGCTAATTAAATGATTAATTACTCCTTTATACAATTGGAATGCTCTTCCTCTTGCTTCAACAAGGACGCTCACAGCTTGATTTGCTAGTTCTTGTAAGAGAGAAGTTTCACTATTTGGTGGCAGCCCTCTGTACCCTTCAATTTTCATCTCGGGACCTTTCTGCAAAATGATTTTAATTAAAAACAAAAGCTAAAGCTAGAGTTAAAAAAAAAAAAAAAAGACAATCATATTTAAGGTCAAGAAAAAAATTTATAAGTATTAATTCGAAAGTAAACGTCGGTTGTATACTAAAATTGAGATTTTTAGTTATCTAATACTAAAGTTGTAACATTAATGGTATTCATATATTAATAATGTACAATCAATAGTATAAATCTTAAATATTAACATTTTATATATTTATATATAATACGTAGATATACCTTCTCTTTAACTCGACAATTGCATGCCTCATATAAATACACTTCTTCCGTGTGAACACCATTGAGAGTTACATTTTGGAGTGTACACCCGAAGCTATGTCTGTCACAATGTACTAATTTTTGCTTTGATAATATTTTTAAATCTCTAGTTTTAATCTCATTTATTCTCTCTGCAGTTGCAATAGTTGAAAATATCCAATAACTATCTGAACTATTTTTTTTAGTAAAAATACATAAATTTTATTAGATAAAAGTAACAAGAATCTAAATAAATTATGATTAATCAATAAAAAACTCATTGAATATGTTAATTAATATTATAATTAAAAAACACTTAATTAAAGTAATAAAGCCGTACCACAAGCACCCTAATATTTTACTGGAGTTACAGCTCCTTTCTCTCTCTAATCAATACTTTGAGGATAATTCGTAACATTCTTATAAGTAAAGTTTTCATTGTTGAACTATTCCTTTATCGTTGAATCTTCAGCAATGGAACCAGCGTACTTTTCTTTGAATTCATCATTGCTTAAATCAACAAACTCGTTTAATTCAAATTAATAACTGTTATTCTTCTTATTTGTCTCATCAATATGTAAATTTTTTCATCAATATTCTTGTAAACCTTGTCTTACTTCAACATTCATGAGTTAAAAGTTATATAAGTCTCTCGATGGACGTTATGTCATGTTGAGAATAATCCATAATAGAAAAATCAGCATATAACAATACATATGACCGAAGAAGAAGAAGAAGAGCAACTAGGAAGTGAACCAGACGCTAGAGAAGGAGACTGGCCACTATTGCTACCGCACCAAAGCCACCGCCAAAGCCCAAAAGGTAAGATTTTCCTTCTCTCCGCTCAAAATTTAATCTCGAGTCTCCATATACCAATATTAGAGCTGAAAGACCAATGGATGAGTCAAAAAACACGAGCGAAGCTTGACCAAGCCGCCTCAATTGAAATCCAAAACTCCTTTTAATGACCCCCTTCTCACTTTCCGTTTTTCACAATTTTTTGACCGTTGTGTTTCTCAACCTTTTTTGGTGTAGGTTAGTCGAAGGAGAACCTTAGTCGCAAAGGAGGAACGGTGGAGCCGCCACACCTGGAGAACCCCCGCTGGTAGGGTTTCAATTTTTGCCTTTTCTGGTCAACAGAGGCCCCCTAACTTAGTTTTTCGTAGGTTTCCATGTAAAACCGACCAATATCAGTCGAAAATGGCTAGGCCGAGAGGAACCACCATCGTAGGTAACAACATAGTTTTGAAACCCTAAATTGGCCAGAAAAGTTTTTAAAACGCCTATTTGGGTATTTTGGGGTATTTTAGATACGTGACGGATATGTTTAATTTACGCAGAAAAAATTCAGGAAACCCGGTGACCAGTAGGAGGCGCAGTGAAAAGTACGTTATTTCAGACACTGATTTGGGATAAGAATCCCTCACCCTTTTTCCGATTATGATAAATTGAAGTTTAATAATCAATAATATTGGGCTTTGTGAAAATTAAAAAAAAATTCTAAAATTAATTACAAGTTACCAGTGGAGCCGAAATTAGTCAGTATATAATTGCTTATTTTTTCTGCATTCATCGTTTATTGATAGGCTGTTCGGTTTACTTACCACATGCATTTTGATTTATTAGTTTAATTGCTTTCTTGTTTATTGGTTGTCTAATCATTTATTTTCATCTATTGACTGATTTAAAATAAATGCCTTAATTACATTTTTTAATTGTTAAGATATAAATTTGTATTGTCTGTTTAAATGTCGTTCTATTAATCTATAAATATGAAATGAGATGTTGGTATGCGATTGATGATGATTTGATGATATGAATCTATGTATGAAAGGCTTACTAGATACCTTGAGAAAAGGTGAACGAACGCAGTACATAGAAAAATCCTACTGTGAACATTACTTCAGTCGTACGAGGCTGAGAAGTTCCATACCGGAAGGCGTTGGGAGGTAAGGTATAGTTCACTCTCATACTGATCGGGGTATTGAAGCGGTGACATATTTGTCGCTCATTATTAGATGGGGTATGGACACGATCGGTTAATCGATAACTTAGATATTGAATCCACGCATAGGGGGAATCCTTATGGGCCCCCAGAGGTACTAGTAAATAGGTAAGAAGGTAAGTTATTATTATTGCTCATTGGGATATGAGATCACAATGTCATTCGGGTTATTATCTTCATAGGTCAGTTTTGGAAACTCATGAGGGTAAGTATGACATAACAGTTTTTTATATTAAATGAACTTATTTAAGAAAGTAAATGGCTCCATTAGTTGTTTATGATTTTTACCAACATTCGGTTCTCCA